TATAGTAGCCCTATTGCATACAGTATAAGAAAAACAGACCAAAACACAAAAACTTAACTATAACCACTAAACCATGAAAATGAGGTCAAGGTCAGATGACACCTGCCAGTTGGACATGTACACCTTACAGTCCTTCCATACACCGAATATGCTAGACCTATTGCTTCTAGTATCTGAGATATGGACTTGACGACCAAAACTTAACCTTGTTCACTGATCCATGAAATGAGGTCGAGGTCAAGTGAAAACTGTCTGACGGGCATAAGGACCTTGCAAGGTACGCACATACCAAATATAGTTATCCAATTACTCATTATAAGAGAGAAATTAACATTACAAAAAATATAAAAATTTTTTTCAAGTAGTCACTGAACCATGAAAATGAGGTCATGGACAATGGACATGTGACAGACGGAAACTTCGTAACATAAGGCATCTATATACAAAGTATGAAGCATCCAGGTCTTCCACCTTCTAAAATACAAAGCTTTTAAGAAGTTAGCTAACGCCGCCGCCGCAACCGGATCACTATCCCTATGTCGAGCTTTCTGCGACAAAAATCGCAGGCTCGACAAAAACGAAAAACAAAAATGATATACAGCAACAAATTTGAACAACAACCACTGATTACAGCCGGGGCGGATCCAGCCGTTTAAAGAAAGGTGGTTCCAATCATATGTCCCCATTCAAAAGCATTGATCATCAAACAAAAGGGGTTCCGACCCCCGGAACACCCCAGGATCTGTCATTGTACAGTCTCCCGACTTGGGACAGGCACATCCAGAATGTATACGGGCCAAAATTATAAAAATAAAAATAAAAAAAAACAGTTGAAAAAGGTTTTACTCATCAGATCGATACAAAACAGAAAAACAACTGACAGATTATAATCATAATTCGGGCAAATGACGACTTCCCGTTAGGTTTTAGCGCCAGATTATCATATAATATAAAAATTGTTATATTCAATTTTCATGTTTTCAAAAATGCCTTTAATTGTCTGTGAGGTTTTTTTTGTTATTCCATGAAGTCCTACTATTTATTCACTGCTTAATCAATGAAAAATATAGGAGTATTACTTTTAGTTTATTGGATAATGATTTGGATTTAATTACTTAAAATTAAGGCTGCGAAAAAGATATGATTATGTAACTGTTTCAAAGTTCGAGTTGATCAATTGTTGATTTAAGAAGATAAGTAAAATTTATTTTCATGAGGAATAAAATGCATTTTGATAATAATGATAATGATAAAGACTTATGTTTCCCTGACATGTCATAAGAAGTGCGCATAGTGGCATTAATAGAAGTACACCGCGGCGCATACGTCCTTGGTGAATTGTGATTATCTGTATTGTTTTAAAAATTGTGAGTATTTTCGTTGCATATTTGTTTTGAAAAAAAGATACATGTATGACATGTATTGTGATTGCCTATTTAGTTATCAAATATTACTGAAACTAGCATTTGTACTGCATGTATCATGTGTATCATAGCACAGACCGGTCGTGGTAGGGTTTGAGTACTCGCAGTTATTTCAAGCTACTTATTTTTTTTCTTTATGATACTGTTTCCAGCTATGTCTTATATTATAGCTATTCAGCATAAGTAAATAACTCTTTATTGTAATATAATATAAAAAGAAGATGTGGTATGATTGCCAACGAGACAACTCTCCACAAGAGACCAAATGACACAGAAATTAACCACTATAGGTTACCGTACGGCCTTCAACAATGAGCAAAGCCCATACCGCACAGTCAGCTATAAAAGGCCCCGAACTGACAATGTAAAACAATTCAAACGAGAAAACTAACGGCCTAATTTATGTACAAAAAATGAACAAGAAACAAATATGTAACACATAAACAAACGACAACCACTGAATTACAGGCTCCTGACTTGGGACAGGCACATACATACAGAATGTGGCGGGGTTAAACATGTTAGCGGGATCCCAAACCTCCCCCTAACCTGGGACAGTGGTGTAACAGTACAACATAAGAACGAACTATAAAAATCAGTTGATAGAGGCTTTACTCATCAGATGGATAAAAATACAAATACTACAAATACAAGTGGACGTGGCCGGGTACTTGTACATCCAAACAACAAAAAAATACTTTACAGATCTGAGAGTACTCGCAGTTACTGATAGCTAGTTCAAAGCCACTAACAACTAATAAAAAAAATTCATGCATACATTGAAAATCGACCATATATTTGTTACAAATACAACAGGCTTTTGTATGCTTGAATTTTATTCTAATAAAGTAGTATTCGGATCATCAGTAAAAAGTAATTATGCTTTGCGAAAAAGACAGTTTTGTTGTATGGGAAGAATCATAAGTGTGTTATTTTTCTAAATTATTTTTGTTAACGCGGACATCCTAGAGAAAAACGGATTAAATAATTTACAATATTGTATATGTATGGAAGTTTTTAACGACCTTGACTGGCTATACAGCCCTTGCACGGTCGGGGCACAATATTGTGTATCCTCTGGTATCCTATTGAATGAACGCGGACTTCAATGAGAACACCTGGATTGAAAGTTTGCAAACTTATGAAACCAATGAAATTCATTTGAATATGTAACGCGGACTTCAACGAGAGCACCTAGATGAAATATTTTATTCAAAACAGCCAAATCCTTGGAACAGCCAATTAATTTTTATTCAATAATTACTGCTAAAATATAGTTAATCAAATTATATGACAGCAACATTGCGGAAATGTTTCATTTCTATTCTTGTTTTACAATGCTTCTGTTCTTGGTCTGTATAATTATATTAAATGCCGCAAACGTAAACAGAAGTTTTTTTTTAAATGCATCAAATGGCGTAAGCCAGGGCCGACCGTGCGAGGGCTTAATAGCCAGTCAAGGTCGTTAAACCCACCCATCATTATCGCAGACTGAAATTTTACTCATATTTTCACAGAATTCATGTTCATTTATTGCAAGAATTCTTTAACGTGTGGACAACACGATAACCCCTTCGTAACTACGATTCAATTTTCGCTTGACATTTGCTGCTTTTCCACAATTAACGCACGTTTTGCACCAGTGACCGGTATTACAATTTTACACAGTTTGAAAAGTTCATTGAGCTGTTACTTTATTTACAATTTTTAGCAAGACTGAACTGTTTATTAAATGAATTCAACAAATGTCAATATTATCTATATCAATCTTATTATTTAACAACAAATTGTTTTAACTACAAGCTATTTTAAATGTCGGTATAATTGTAAATGTTTTTTTTTACCGAAAATATAAGATGCATCGATTTAAATTATGTACACAATGAATAATGTTTGTTCCTTTTACGTGCGTGTCTGTAAAATAACGATTACAATATAGGAAAACAGAAAAAAAGAAAATACTTTTAGTATTCAGGAATACATTAATTCTACGCATATAATAAGGACAAATTTTGACAGAAATTAAAGTGATCATTTCACCTCACAATTTTATTTCAATCTATTTATTTTCTAATGATTTTTTAAAGTATCTTTCACTTCTAGGCTCGCGCCAATGAGCGCAATTACGACCTTCTAATTCTCCTTCCCGTTTTTTATTTTTCGCAAGTATTTGCAAGAAACCACACGTTACTTATATGCCACGAGTTCTCATATCAGTTAGCAATCTATGAAACGAATTTGTGAGATAAAGAGCTACTGCATTTAGGCAAATTAAAATTATGTTTTTAATGTTTTATTTTTAACAGATTCACAATTTTTGCATTTTTTTAATCGAGCATCGATATTTTAAAGTTTTTTTAATTTACTTATATCAGAGACATATGTCTCTGCTTATATGTACTGTTCATTCATTTATTTTAATTTTGAAGCATGTTACTTTAATTAGTATGATATCTAAAATCGATAAAGTTTGATACAAATAAACGATAGATACATCGGGTTTGTATTGCTTGAGTGATTTACCTGTACAAACACTGTTTAAAACGAGTTAAAGCCATTTTGAAATGGTTTAACGGGGGCGTGGCCAATTAGTTCGACACAGCTTAACCACATCTGAAACTAACTTGAATGACCACAAGGGAATTTATTTGACTGGCATTAAAATAATTTGATATGGATTGAAATGGATTAATAACAATTTTTAATTTTTGTCAATCCTTATCAAATCTTCATTAATCTTTTTTAAATAACGTCAAGGATTTGTATAATAATTGTGTTATATGTCTCTGGTATTACTATACAAAAATCCTTGATAGCGTTAATACCTTTTTGGGCGATCAAGCTAAGGTCGGGTTACTAGTGTTTGTACAGAGACATATGTCTCTGGTTTGTATTCTTGCTGATGTGCTTCGTCTATATGCCTTTTTGCGTTTCTTTGTTACATATTTTTGTTTTTGTTTTATAGTAATTAAGATTATGACACAATGTTGACTGCTCAGTGCTGTACCCCTATTTTTGACATTTTTACCTATTATGTCTATTTGTTTTGGCCACACATCGTTGTCAATATAATAGAATTTTATGCGACTGTCATACAAGTGAGAGGTTTAGCTAGCTATAAAACCCGTTTAATCCGCCATTTTCTACATAAGAAAATGCCTGTACCAAGTCAGGAATATGACAGTTGTTATCCATTCGTTTGGTGTGTTTGAGCTTTTGATTTTGCCATTATTTTGTGGTATTACATCTCTAAAGGTAACTCAGGTATGCCTTATTCAAAGATAAAATTTCAAAATCAAACTTGACCTGCATTTTATTGTTGTCCATGACATCTGAGACTACTATAACACAGTGTTATAGTAGTCTCAGATGACATTAGGCAAATTGTGATTCATCAGTGGAAAGCAAACTTGAGACAGGACAAAAGGATGGGTGGACATGTGCATCACCATTGAAGGGGTATAATTGTCAAGGATTTGTATAGTACATACAAATCCAATCTTTGGTTTTGTCAAATAAATTTCATTTACGAATCTTTCCAATAAATATATAGGCTTAGACAAAACAAACAATATATTCATATTGCCGAAAACATAGACATCGGATTTTATCTTTATCAAAATAATAATCATGCATACAAGGATAAGCATATATAGTATAATACAGAAAGAAAATTGTAACATTTAAAATTGATGAGCATTTCATTGTATTTAATGTGCAATACCATATAATGGCAAAATCTCTGTCATAGACGACCCAGCCGTCAAGGAACAACTAACTAAAACGAGTTAACACGGTCAATCTATACAGGAACTCATCCTAATGTGCTATCTACAATGGAAGCATCTTTCATGGTATAGGAGTGTTACATATGTAGGCTGTATCTGTAACAAAAACAAAAATTATTCATTAATTTCAGCTTTCAATCTACTTTTTGCTGTTGCAATCAATTCAGAAATAATGTGATGCATGTTTTATGTCAAATCCTAAATTGGAGACAAGTGTTTTTACAATCACTATGCATTCTTATTTAAATATACCTCATTACAGTGAATATTTCAATAAAAGAAATGTAGGACCAATTTGTAAATAAATTTCAAGCTGTTCTTCCAGGAAAAACCGATTTTTAATACCTAACAAATACAAACATAGTTTTAAGAACAATTGTAATGACGAAATACCTACATGTGATTCATCCTAATGTGCTTTCTACAATGGAAGCATCTTTCATGGTATAGGAGCGTTACATATTTAGGCTGTATCTGCAACAAAAACAAAAATTATAAATTAGTTTCAGCTTCAAAATCAAGACTTTATGCTGCTGCAATCAATTCAGAAATTAATGTGATGTATGTTTTATGTCAAATCCTAAGTTGGAGAGGTATATTATATAAATAACACATAGCTGAGAGGGTGATAGAGCAGATTGTTACCCCGATAAAACATTGCCAACTGAGGCGAAGCTAAGGTTGACAATGTCTTTTCGAGGGATAACAATCTGCTCTATCACCCTCTCAGATATGCGTTATTTAATTTATTATACTGAATGTTCTGTTATTACTGTCTATTAAATTTCAAATTCAAAGTAATAAACTATGACGTCTTGTACATAACCATTCTGTATTTAATAAAGCGCACACTTGATCAAGCGTCTCCGTGAAGGGTAATAGAGTATTTGCCATAGGATAGAGTAAATTGTCTCCCTCGTATTAACCAATCAAAATCTGGCATTTTGACATGAAGTGTAATAATTACAATTACGCTGCATACTTATTAAAATATACTTCATTCAAGAATAAATTTGAATAAAAGAAATTGTAGACCATTTTGTTCTAAAGACTAAACTTCAATCTGTTGTTTCAGTGAAAACTGATTTTTAATACCTTACAAATATAAACATAGTTTAAAGAACAATTGTAATGAATAAATACCTACATGTGACACATCCTAATGTGCTATCTACAATGAAACCATCTTCATTGTCGAGGAGTGTTAACATATTTAGGCTGTATCTGTAACAAAAACAAAAATCGTAAATTAGTATCAGCTTTAAATAGAGAATATTTGCTGTTGCAATCAATTCAGAAATTAATGTGATGCATGTTTTATGTCAAATCCTAAATTGGAGACTAGTATAATTACTATTACTATACTTTCTTATCAAAATATACCTCATTACAGTAAATATTTGATTCAAAGAAATTTTAGACCAATTTGTAATAAAATTTCAAGTTGTTCCAGGGAAAAACTGATTTTTGTTACCTAACACATATAAAAAGAGTTAAAAGTACAATTATAATGAGAAAATACCTACATGCTACTTTATCTTCGTGTGCTATATATATATATATATGTATATACCATGAAACTGTTATTTTTATGTCAAATCCTAATTTGGAGAGAGGTATGTAAGCGATTTCTATTAATTTTCATTAAAATATACTTTATAAGAGTATAAATTTGAATAAAAGAAATTTTAGAACAATTTGTAATAAAATCAATTTAAGCTGTTGTTCCAGGAAAAACTGATTTTTGTTACCGGACACATATAAACATAAAGTAATACCAAATACCTACATGCTACTGATCCTCATATGCGATCGATCTACCATGAAACCATCTGCATTGTCTAGGAGTGTAACATATTTAGGCTGTATCTGTAATAAAAACAAAAATCATAAATTACTATCAGCTTTAAATAGAGACTATTGGCTGTTGCAATCAATTATAAAATAAATATCAAATCCTAAATTGGACACAAGTATATTTACAATTACTACACATTCTTGTTAAAATATACCTCATTAGTTAGGGAAAACTGATTTTTTATTACCCAACACATATAAACAGTTAAAAGTACAATTGTAATGACCAAATACCTACATGCTACTAATCCCAATGTGCTATCTATCTACCATGAAACCATCTTCATTGTGTGGGAGTGGAACATATCTGAGTTGTATCTGTTAAACAAAAGAAAATTTTTAAATTAGTATCAGCTTTAAAAAGCTGATGGATGCATGGACGGACTGACGGATGGATGCACTGACAGACAGAGGTAAAACAGTATACCCCCGTTTCAAAACGATGGTATAATTAATTCAGAAATTAATGTGATGCATGTTTTGTTTTATGTCAAATCTTAAATTAGGGACAATTAATTTACGATTAATTAACAATAACTATACATTCTTATTAAAATATACCTCATTTAGAGTCTAAATTTGAATAAAAATAATTTTAAACCAATTTTTAATTGTCTCACAAATATAAACATAGTTTTAAGTACAATTGTAATGACCAAATACTTACATGCGACTCCTCCTCATGTACTATCTACCATGAAGTTACCATCTTCTCTGTCTAGGAGTGCAGCATCTTTAACAAAAACTAGAAATTAATATCAGCTGTAAATAGAGACTATTTGCTGTTGCAATTAATTCAGAATTTAATCTTTTGCATGTTGGACAAGAATATTTATAATTACTATAATTCTCATAAGAATATACTTCATTAGAGTATAAATTTGAAGAAAATTTTTTTTTAGACCAATTTGTAATAAAGTTTCAAATTGGTTGATAATGAAATAGAACCTGACATAAAATTAAATACTTTTTACTATAAAACAAGTTTTCATCATATTATATAACCGGCTCTGCTGGGTGATCTGCTTTTACGAGATCAGCGCCCATTAAATTCATCAATGTTACATCAAAATCTAAAGTTTGCTCTCTGGGGAGGACTGCTTTTACGAGACCCATTTTGACATAAAGCATCTTTTATCCAACTGCTGGGCATTCTGCTTTAACAATAGTCCAATTAATAATGACGTCTTGAAAGTCTACTTTATTCTTTGCTGTCGATAGAAGGCGTCATAGCAAAAAATAATTGTATCTGAGGGGTCCCTTTCCGCTGCTTAAATCGTTAACCAAACGTTGACATTATTGAATCGTTGTTAATTAATAAATTGTGATATTCTTCTATTGACTATCCATCCTATTTGCAGGATCACCGCATTAAAAAATGTATGCGTTGACAGCATTCTGATCCAGATTTTAAAACGCTATGACAACAAAACTATGAAAAAATTAAAGTTGCCTAAAATGGTAACTAAAACATTTCCATATATTTTTTGGGCCGCCAGCCAATTTTAGGCCCACTTAACTATATAGTAAAATTATTCCTGCAGTATACCATAATCGCTCCTTAAACAGGCATAAAAGACGAAATTGTAGACCAATTTGTAATAAAGTTTCCTGCTATTCCAGGAAAAACTGATTTTTATTACCTAACACATATAAACATAGCTTAAAGAACATTTGTAATGACCAAATACCTACATGCGACATCATCCTCTTGAACTTCAATGGAACTATTCTTCATGGTATAGGACTGTCACATATTTAGGCTGTATCTAACAAAAACAAAAACTTTAAATTAGTTTCAGCTTTAAATAGAGACTTTTTGCTGTTGCAATTAATTCAGAAATTAATGTGATGAATGTTTTATGTCAACTCCTTAACCGGGCAACAACAAGTCTAAAAACAAATACAAAACATTCTTATATAAATATATTACTTAAGAGTATAAATTTGAAAAAAAAAGAGGAAATTTTAGACAAATTAGTTATAAAGCTTCAGGCTGTTGTTTCAGGAAAAACAGATTTTTATTACCTAACAAACATAAACATAGTTTTAAGAACAAGAGGCTCTCAAGAGCAGGAATCGCTCACCTGTAATGTTTTGCTTAAATCTTTCATCAATGATTATTTTTGCTTTTCAATATATATTAATGAGTGGCTTAAAAATGCCATTTAAATGTTATTTGCATCTGTCATATTTTCTTCAAAAGCAAAAAAATGCATTTTACCCCTATGTTCCATTTTAGCCATAGTGGCTATATTTCTCGACGTACAAGAACACTTTTACCCCCATGTCAGAGTTCCTCTAAATGCTTTAGTTTTTGAGATATAAGCCAAAAACTGCATTTTACCCCTATTTTCTATTTTTAACCATGTTGGCCATGTTTTTTGACGAAACAGAAAATAAAACACAAACTTAATTCTAGATACCCTAAGGATCATTCAGCTTAAGTTTGGTTGGAATTGGTTCAGTAGTTTCAGAGGAGAAGATTTTTGAAATAGTTTACACCGGACGGACGACGACGACGGACGCCAAGTGATGGCAAAAGCTCACATTTCCTTCGGAAAGGTGAGCTCAAAAATTGTAATGACCAAATACCTACATGTGACTCGTCCTAATGTGTGATCTACGATGAAAGCATCTTTCACGATATAGGAGTGTTGCATATTTAGGCTGTATCTGTAAAAAAAACAAAAATTATAAATTAGTTTCAGCTTTAAATCAAGACTTTTTGCTGTTCCAATCAATTCAGAAATTAATGTGATGCATGATTTATGTTAAATACTAAATTAGAGAGAAGTATATATACAATTACTATACATTCTTATTAAAATATACATCATTAGAGCATAAATTTGAATAAAAGAAATTTTAGACCAATTTGTTATAAAGCTTCAATTTGTTTCAGGAAAAACTGATTTTTAATACCTAACAAATATAAACATAGTTTTAAGTACAATTGTAATGACCAAATACTTACATGCGACTCCTCCTCATGTGCTATCTACCATGAAGTTACCATCTTCTCCGTCTAGGAGTGCAGCATCTTTAACAAAAACTAGAAATTAATATCAGCTGTAAATAGAGACTATTTGCTGTTGCAATTAATTCAGAATTTAATCTTTTGCATGTTGGACAAGAATATTTATAATTACTATAATTCTCATAAGAATATACTTCATTAGAGTATAAATTTGAAGAAAATTTTTTTTTAGACCAATTTGTAATAAAGTTTCAAATTGGTTGATAATGAAATAGAGCCTGACATAAAATTAAATACTTTTTACTATAAAACAAGTTTTCATCATATTATATAACCGGCTCTGCTGGGTGATCTGCTTTTACGAGATCAGCGCCCATTAAATTCATCAATGTTACTTCAAAATCTAAAGTTTGCTCTCTGGGGAGGTCTGCTTTTACGAGACCCATTTTGAAATAAAAAATCTGCTTTAACAATAGTCCAATTAATAATGACGTCTTGAAAGTCTACTTTATTTTTTGCTGTCGATAGAAGGCGTCATAGCAAAAAATAATTGTATCTGAGGGGTCCCTTTCCGCTGCTTAAATCGTTAACCAAACGTTGACATAATTGAATCGTTGTTAATTAATAAATTGTGATATTCTTCTATTGACTATCCATCCTATTTGCAGGATCACCGCATTAAAAATGTATGCGTTGACAGCATTCTGATCCAGATTTTAAAACGCTATGACAACAAAACTATGAAAAAATTAAAGTTGCCTAAAATGGTAACTAAAACATTTCCATATATTTTTTGGGCCGCCGGCCAATTTTAGGCCCACTTAACTATATAGTAAAATTATTCCTGCAGTATACCATAATCGTCCCTTAAACAGGCATAAAAGACGAAATTGTAGACCAATTTGTAATAAAGTTTCCTGCTATTCCAGGAAAAACTGATTTTTATTACCTAACACATATAAACATAGCTTAAAGAACATTTGTAATGACCAAATACCTACATGCGACATCATCCTCTTGAACTTCAATGGAACTATTCCTCATGGTATAGGACTGTCACATATTTAGGCTGTATCTAACAAAAACAAAAACTTTAAATTAGTTTCAGCTTTAAATAGAGACTTTTTGCTGTTGCAATTAATTCAGAAATTAATGTGATGAATGTTTTATGTCAACTCCTTAACCGGGCAACAAGTCTAAAAACAAATACAAAACATTCTTATATAAATATATTACTTAAGAGTATAAATTTGAAAAAAAAGAGGAAATTTTAGACAAATTAGTTATAAAGCTTCAGGCTGTTGTTTCAGGAAAAACAGATTTTTATTACCTAACAAACATAAACATAGTTTTAAGAACAAGAGGCTCTCAAGAGCAGGAATCGCTCACCTGTAATGTTTTGCTTAAATCTTTCATCAATGATTATTTTTGCTTTTCAATATATATTAATGAGTGGCTTAAAAATGCCATTTAAATGTTATTTGCATCCGTCATATTTTCTTCAAAAGCAAAAAAATGCATTTTACCCCTATGTTCCATTTTAGCCATAGTGGCTATATTTCTCGACGTACAAGAACACTTTTACCCCCATGTCAGAGTTCCTCTAAATGCTTTAGTTTTTGAGATATAGGCCAAAAACTGCATTTTACCCCTATTTTCTATTTTTAACCATGTTGGCCATGTTTTTTGACGAAACAGAAAATAAAACACAAACTTAATTCTAGATACCCTAAGGATCATTCAGCTTAAGTTTGGTTGGAATTGGTTCAGTAGTTTCAGAGGAGAAGATTTTTGAAATAGTTTACACCGGACGGACGACGACGACGGACGCCAAGTGATGGCAAAAGCTCACATTTCCTTCGGAAAGGTGAGCTCAAAAATTGTAATGACCAAATACCTACATGTGACTCGTCCTAATGTGTGATCTACGATGAAAGCATCTTTCACGATATAGGAGTGTTGCATATTTAGGCTGTATCTGTAAAAAAAACAAAAATTATAAATTAGTTTCAGCTTTAAATCAAGACTTTTTGCTGTTGCAATCAATTCAGAAATTAATGTGATGCATGATTTATGTTAAATACTAAATTAGAGAGAAGTATATATACAATTACTATACATTCTTATTAAAATATACATCATTAGAGCATAAATTTGAATAAAAGAAATTTTAGACCAATTTGTTATAAAGCTTCAATTTGTTTCAGGAAAAACTGATTTTTAATACCTAACAAATATAAACATAGTTTTAAGTACAATTGTAATGACCAAATACTTACATGCGACTCCTCCTCATGTGCTATCTACCATGAAGTTACCATCTTCTCCGTCTAGGAGTGCAGCATCTTTAACAAAAACTAGAAATTAATATCAGCTGTAAATAGAGACTATTTGCTGTTGCAATTAATTCAGAATTTAATCTTTTGCATGTTGGACAAGAATATTTATAATTACTATAATTCTCATAAGAATATACTTCATTAGAGTATAAATTTGAAGAAAATTTTTTTTTAGACCAATTTGTAATAAAGTTTCAAATTGGTTGATAATGAAATAGAGCCTGACATAAAAATAAATACTTTTTACTATAAAACAAGTTTTCATCATATTATATAACCGGCTCTGCTGGGTGATCTGCTTTTACGAGATCAGCGCCCATTAAATTCATCAATGTTACTTCAAAATCTAAAGTTTGCTCTCTGGGGAGGTCTGCTTTTACGAGACCCATTTTGACATAAAGCATCTTTTATCCAACTGCTGGGCGATCTGCTTTAACAATAGTCCAATTAATAATGACGTCTTGAAAGTCTACTTTTTTTTTTGCTGTCGATAGAAGGCGTCATAGCAAAAAATAATTGTATCTGAGGGGTCCCTTTCCGCTGCTTAAATCGTTAACCAAACGTTGACATAATTGAATCGTTGTTAATTAATAAATTGTGATATTCTTCTATTGACTATCCATCCTATTTGCAGGATCACCGCATTAAAAATGTATGCGTTGACAGCATTCTGATCCAGATTTTAAAACGCTATGACAACAAAACTATGAAAAAATTAAAGTTGCCTAAAATGGTAACTAAAACATTTCCATATATTTTTTGGGCCGCCGGCCAATTTTAGGCCCACTTAACTATATAGTAAAATTATTCCTGCAGTATACCATAATCGTCCCTTAAACAGGCATAAAAGACGAAATTGTAGACCAATTTGTAATAAAGTTTCCTGCTATTCCAGGAAAAACTGATTTTTATTACCTAACACATATAAACATAGCTTAAAGAACATTTGTAATGACCAAATACCTACATGCGACATCATCCTCTTGAACTTCAATGGAACTATTCCTCATGGTATAGGACTGTCACATATTTAGGCTGTATCTAACAAAAACAAAAACTTTAAATTAGTTTCAGCTTTAAATAGAGACTTTTTGCTGTTGCAATTAATTCAGAAATTAATGTGATGAATGTTTTATGTCAACTCCTTAACCGGGCAACAAGTCTAAAAACAAATACAAAACATTCTTATATAAATATATTACTTAAGAGTATAAATTTGAAAAAAAAGAGGAAATTTTAGACAAATTAGTTATAAAGCTTCAGGCTGTTGTTTCAGGAAAAACAGATTTTTATTACCTAACAAACATAAACATAGTTTTAAGAACAAGAGGCTCTCAAGAGCAGGAATCGCTCACCTGTAATGTTTTGCTTAAATCTTTCATCAATGATTATTTTTGCTTTTCAATATATATTAATGAGTGGCTTAAAAATGCCATTTAAATGTTATTTG